CTATCTCGGTCTTCCTCGTATGTTGCTCTGCCTTCGCCATTCTTGTTCGCGTCTTACTGTGAATGTTTGTGTGCTGCTGGATTCTTTTTCATCCTCTCTCGTCTGTTTGTTGCTAGTGTTTGTGTGAAGTAGGAGATCTTTTGCTGCTGAAGGCCGCCGGATTCTTCCACATCTTCCCCTGTTCGTGCTGTCTTTGTTCTGGTAAAGGAGTGAGAGCCCAAGGAGAGAGAGAGCGTCTAGTTTTCGCTTCACCATTTCCTCTTCATTTATGACTTGTTTCTCTAATTCTTGCCATCGGTGTGCGTCCTGGATCTTCCCTATAGATTCTCCGTCTACGCCGTCAACTTGAAGTGTTGAGCTGCATGATTTCTGTTTTCCTCTACTTTCTTGTTTGCTGGTCGTGTGATCTCGTGTTGTGTGTGTGTTCTCAGCTTTCAATTTCCTTGTTCTTCTCAGCATGAGTGTCAAGTATGTGTGTGTGGTAAGTTCAGCTTCTCTTATTCTTTACTGTTGTTGGTTGTTCAAACTTCAATCTTAAACTTCATTGATTGTCGGTCATTCTCCCCTGTTTTTGGTATCACTGCCGTGCTCATGAGGCTGGACAAAATTTCGAGTCTGCCCTTTTTAAATTCTCATATGCTCCATAGATGGGTGAATACCACCTGTCTTCTTTTCCTCGGCCAGTTTATACATAGATATTGGAGTGAATAAAAATTTGTTCTTTTCCATTTGTTCTGTGGCTGTGCATAAGCAAGGATAGGAATAGTGTTAAAGTAAGTTTGAATTGTGGATTAGAAAGCTTATTTTGAATGGCAATCATGCTTTAAGCAACTTGTTATTGTAAGGGAGAAATCTTGATTATTGTGGTAAATTATATGTGATGGTTATACTGTGATTAATAAAAAAAATTATATACACACACACTCACACTTGATTAAAATTTAGTATAAAAATTGAAAGGCAGATTAAAATCTAATCAAAGTGTCAAATAGAAAGGTAGACTTAGAAAGGTAGACATGTAAAGTATTGAAAGGATTAAAGAAACTGAGATTGGGTTGACTAAATTATAAGGATTTAGAGTTCGATTGGTTATAGTGTTATCAATATTGGAAGATAATTTATTTGGCTAGAGTAAGGCCATTAAATTGTTCATCACTTTAAATAGGGTGTTTAGAGGAAGGGAGACATGGATGAAGTCGAAAGAAATGAATTTTGGTTCTTGGGCATACTAAAGGTAAGTGGATAGCGTCTCAACTGATTTTTTTTCAATTAAAATTTTATTTAGTAAAATATTACATTTTTCTGGAAATCATTTTAATAGCATTAATGCAATTATTGGATATTTGTTGATTAACTTTACTTTATTTTGAGAAATTAGCTTTATCAAATTTAAAATGTTATTTGATCAATTAAATCAAGTTTGGACTTTGATTGTGAGATTTTTATTTTATCAAATATTAGATTGATACAGAGAATGATTCTTGCGAGTTCAACTTTGAAAAGTTTTTGATTATTTGATAAAGGCAAGCATGAGCGTTGGATATGAAATTTTATTCTGGAAAGTTTCAATGCTTAAAAGTATTCATGCGAGTTTGAATTTGAGAATAAGAACTGTATCTTGAAAGTGATGATTTTCTTGCATGTTTGAAAATGGTTTTAAAAATGGACTGTATACAGAACACTGGTTGTTAACGGCAGTTCCGTTAGCCCTTGGTGCGCCATGCTACACCTAGCTAGCAGGGTGTGTATAGGAGGTGCTAGCCCCGTGCGATGGCCAACGCACGTGAAACGGAGGGATGGTTATTCGTGAGCATCATACTCACGTTTGTTTCATGGCTTCAGCTGCATTTGGTTACATACCCTCGTGGACTATGTGTTTACGTTTGTTTCGTGGCTTCGGCTGCGTTTGGTTACATACCCTCGTGGACTGTGTGTCCACGTTTGTTTCGTGGCTTCGGCTGCGTTTGGTTACATACCCTCGTGGACTGTGTGTCCACGTTTGTTTCGTGGCTTCGACTGCGTTTGGTTATTTGCCCTCGTGGACTGTGTTTCCACGTTTGTTAATTATTCTGATAAGTCTTTATAATTATGAATCCAAGTATTTGATGATTTTTTTATACTATTAGTTTTTGTTTAGTAATTTATTTATAAATATTTATTTCATTTATGTGTTTTCTTGAAATCAAGTGATATTTTCATTTAGTATGATAGTTTAATGATTTGAGAGTTTATTTGAAATTTTATTGAGCCATTTTATTATGAAGTTTATTAATTTTTTTTTAAAGTTGTTTGTCTCTCAATTTATGTAATTACTTCAAACTTTCCTTTTTATTCATGTTCTATTATTTATTGTTGGGACGTTATTCACTGAAAATTATTATTTTGGTCTCAGATACGTTAGCTGATGTTGTGCCTTCCGCTAATTCTTGAGGGGTGGTAATATTCAGATGAGATGAAAAGTTGAAATCAAACTTCTTTAAAGTAAATTTCTTATGTCAGGTGCTCCATATAAGCTATAATTAGGGTCCTCATTCTTATGATTTATACTTTGATATTTACTGATCGGAAGAAAATTTCTTGCTGCTACTACTGTTTTGTAAAATATTAAATCTTTTGTTCGTATGGCTTGTATTGAGGATGGCTTAATTTATTATCAAGGTCTTCATGGCTTATAAATTAGAGTTTTCTTGAGTAAAAACTTTTAGGATATGGGTATTATCTCTATATTCTGTGCCAAACATGTTCTATTGTCGGGGTGTGACATTAGTGTTCTTGGAAAGAGTGGCGTTCCATATTTTATTAATTGATTATTATATCGATATATATATATATATATATATACACAATAACGGTTACTTCTAGTCTCACTAGCAAGGCAGCTTTTTCCTTCCCTTGCTACACGTGACCCCATGTTCGAATCAACTAGGGCCTGTTATTTTAACTAAAATCGCGCATGAAAATTGAAATTCAATTGCGACACGCCTACACTCACGATTCTGACCTCGATTTCAATGAGTCCATTTGATTGACCAGCGAGTCCGTCTAAGAGCATGTTTGGATTGCACTGTAACTTCAATTAGAATAGGAAAATTGAGGTTAAGAGGTAAAATGATGAAATTATCTTGTTTGGATTAGCAAAATCTGTGAACCTCAGTTGGCATGAAAACGTGCGTTGAGTTAAAAGCTCACTGCCCTGGCTTTTTCTTCTGCGCATTCACGTTGGTACCTGTTAAAAGTAATAAAATACATTTTTTGATGCGTTCTCTCTCTTATCTCCTATCTAATCGAGTTGTGCTTCCTATGCGTGTGTTGCTTTCCTGTGACCTTCCCATCTGCTCCAAAACAAACACAGATCTCGCATAAAGCTCTACACACTCAGATCTGTCTCCTTTCGTTAGTCATTTTCTCCCTCCGGCCGATCTCCAGCTCCAGTCATTGCGTCCAAACCGATCTCCAGCTCATTGCTGTCCTTTCTAGCATCCACCATGTCCTTGCTTTGAAGTGCTTCTTCTTCCCGTCGCCTCTCGATCTCCACTGTGTCCATCGGATCTACACTTCCCATCACCGAATCTGCTTTCCATCAGTTATCTCTATCAAGTAATGTCATCTCCTTCTTTGCTTCCTTCCTGTTGTGCTTGCTCTTCGTTCTTTATTTTTACTATCATGCTCAACTGTTCCAGAACTGATAATGCTTGTTATCCTCTTTACATTCCATCCCCTGTTTTGTTTACATTAGAGCAGAGGAAGATCTGGCTTTTTTTTTTGGAACTGAGTTGCTGGTCTTTGTTTTCATCCTCTCTAACCTCCTTCTGCCACTATTCAGACCATCGGTGAAGCAAGCTAGTGTAATGGTTGAGGTCGCAAGTCCTGGGTCCTTACTTCACTGTCCATTTTGCATCCTCCTCGCTACCATCCGTTCTCACCTTCATCGTCTTCTTCTTCCTTGTTTGAGAAGCAGCGTCTCCTTCTTCTGACTTCCACCATTGTTGTTTAGAGGTATGGATTTTTTACTCTTCCTCCCTACTTGGTTCTGTGCACTTGTGTGTATTAATGGATGAAGTTGTGCTGGGTGCCTCAATGCTAAACTTGTGCGTGTGAGTCTGTGGTAATGTTGTTGAAGTTGAAATTTCTCTCTTGAATTTTAATGCTTTTCGTAGCTGTTGAGAAAATAAAATATTTAAAAATTATGGAATTAAGCTGAAATTAGGTGCTGAAAGTATAATATGGATCAGAAATTGTGAATTAAAATAACTTTGTTTGGAGTGGATGAAGCTGTGAAATTCATCTCCTTATGATACCATGCATGTTGGAGTTTGAGGAAAAAAAGTGAGTTTAGCTAAAACTCCTAGTATGAAGAATAAGAGAATGAGGATGTGGGTTTGAATTCTAATTGAGTTTATATTGCTATTATGAAATTTTGGAAGTAAAATTGAAGAGAAAGAAGCTGGCATTTGTTTAAAGAATAATCCCCATGAGGTGTTTGATAAAATATCTATTAGGAGAGTTTTGTTTGAATTTAAATTTATTAAAATTTCATTAAACCTTTAGAAGACATAATTGGTTTAACTACTATAATTTTGTCAAATAAGCTTGTCATTGGCTGTTGAAATTTGATTATGAAAATATTGTGTAGCTACTTGAGTTCTTTGTAATTATTAAGTAGAGAAATTGTTGGGTAATAAATTTGAATGTTAAAAGTTTTATCATGAATTGAAAATAATGTACATTTGGTATTTTGACAAAATGTTTAATAGGAAACCGTATTTTAATGAAGTATTGAGCTATAATTTTGAGGAATTTTTATGTGAAAGTCCTAGTTCTAAAAGTTCCAAACCCATTATAATTTAATGTTAGGCACAATAATGTTTGAAGGAAACTATTGGATTGGTTAAACAAAATTAAAAAAAATTATCAAAACCTTATTATTTTTAGGGTGTTTGAAAGAGGAGAGATATTTATTAATCTTGCATGTTTGTGATGGTTGGCTAGTTTATAGAATAATGAACAACGACAAAGGAAAAGCTGTGTGGAATTCAACCTTGACAGAAATTTTCATTAAGGAATGCTTGGAGCAAGTGTACAAGAAACAAAGGAAGGGAACTACTTTCAACAAAAATGGGTGGCAGGCAACAATTGAGGGGTTTGAGGCAAAAACAGGAAAAAGGTATGAGCAAAAGCAATTGAAAAATAAGCTAGATAACATGAGGAAAGAATGGAACGTATGGCATAAGTTGTTTTCAAGTGAAACCGGCTTAGGATAGGATAGTGACAAGAATACTGTTGATGCTCTAGATGAGTGAGGGGAGCAAAAAAATCTTGGTATGGATTAGTTGTTAAGTATTTTTAAGATTAGAATTTAATTTGAGAATTTTAATTGTTGGTTATTTGAATGGTTGCAGGAAAATCCCCTTTATGGAAAATTTAGATATAAAGGTTTGAGATTTGCAAGGAAATTAACTTTGATATTCAAGGATGTCCTGGCAACTGGGGAGACACTTTTTGTACCATCTGCTACCCAGACCTAAATAGAGGATGATGATGATGAGGATGTGTACCACCCTACTATTGACCTTCGAGAAGGCTCCGGTGATAATGAAGAGGAGCTAAATTTATCTGACACTACAGCACCTACGGGAGTCACCGATGAGCTGTTGGGCTTGAATGTGACCACAAATACTGGTGGAACCAATGGTGATGAAAGTCAAGGCAAGAGAAAGAGGATTGTAGGCATTAGTGGGAGGAAAAAGCAAAAAGTCCCTGCCTCAATGAAAATAGCAGATGCGATGAGTGAAATGGCTAAGGATAATAGAGCAAGAACAGAGACAGTGAACAAGATTTTAGCAAATGACATAGGAGTTTCTGAAGTTGTGGCTCACCTAAATGGACTCTCAGAAGTTTTTGGTGATAAAAATTTGCATTGGAGATGTGTCAATCTTGTTCTGTACAAGCCTATGCGAGATGCTTACTGGCAACTTAAAGATCATCCTGATCACTTGGTCAATTGGTTGAAGCACCAAGTTTACCATCTACCAGATTGGATTTCAAAAAATACATCTACATGAATTTTTATCTAGGCTTATGATGACTTGACTTGTGTTTGACTTGTAGTTGTTTTATTTTGACTTGTGTTTGACTTATAGTTGCTTTATTTTGACTAGTAATTTGCAAATGATGACTTGGTTTGTAGTGAATATTTAACTCTTATCTAATGCTTATCTTATGCTTTATCTTTTATGATATTTATATATATTATGTACTTTATATTATATACAAATGATATTTACATACTATTTTACCTCAGGTTTAAAAATCATGGAAGATTCGAATGAATATATGTTAGGTTGAAATGAAGGTTGGGATGTACATGTGGTTCATCAACTACTTCCCTTGTTACAGCAAGATATAACGAAGCAAGAAGAAATATGTCAATTAATTAGTGAATATGTGATGCCATATGTGTGTAAAGAGCCACGGAGAACTAGCATGCAAACAGGACAAATGTGGGTCAATGAGATTTTGCAAGGTCATCCTGATCGTTGTTATGAAATGTTTCGAATGGAAAAACATTTGTTTAGGCGACTATGTGCGACACTAGTTGATCTTGGTCTAAAGAAGTCTAAAAAAATGGGAGTTGAAGAAATGGTTGGAATGTTTTTAAATACAGTTGGACATGGAGTTGGTAATAGGATGATACAGGAACGATTTCAGCATTCAGGGGAAACTGTTTATAGAAATTTTCATAAAGTATTAGCTGCCTGCCTTAACCTTTCCAAGGCAAACATAAAGCCACTTGATCCTTTGTTTCAACGATGTCATTCAAAAATTCAAAATGATCCACGGTATTGGCCATTCTTTAAGGATGCTATAAGAGCAATTGATGGCACTCATGTGCCATGCGTGGTTAGTGTTGCTGATCAAATCAAATTTATTAAAAGAAAGGGATATGCAACACAAAATGTTATGGCTGTATGTGATTGGAACATGTGTTTTACTTTTGTCATTGCGGGATGGGAAGGTATGGCTCATGATGCTCGAGTATTTGATAATGCCATATCAACTCCTTCAATGCATTTTCCACATCCACCTCCAGGTATATTTTATTAAAGTCACTATAATTATTATTGCATTGATTTAATGTTGGTCAAATTTACATCACTTCCTTTCATTTAATAGGTAAATATTATTTGGTTGATTATGGTTATCCAACACTAAATGGATATCTTGGTCCATATCGTTGCGAACGTTATCACCTTCCAGACTTTAGACAAGTTGCAGGATTTGCAAACAATAATGAGGTATTCAATTATTATCATTCAAGTTTAAGATGCACTATAGAAAGAACTTTTGGAGTGTGAAAGAATAGGATTGCAATTATATGAAAAATGCCCAAATTTAAATATAAAACACAAGTTCAAATTGTTTATGCAACAATGGCAATACATAATTTTATTAGGAGAAATTCAATTACTGACGAGCAGTTCATACAAGCTGAAGATGAAAGTGTAGAAGTCCAGGAGGAAGATATCGATATTGGTGAAGCATCTTCATCAAATCTACCCGAATCATCAAGACAGATGCAGCGTGTTCGTGATACAATTAGAGATCAACTTGTAAATCATATCAATTAAATATTAATTTATTTTAGGTTTTCATGGTTGAATATTTAAGATATTTTACTTATTAGTTGTGATTTTAACTTTAATATTTTTTATTGATTAGTTAGTCAAAAAAATATAAACATGCTTATTTAAGATTTAATATTTAAAACAAAAATTTCATGCTTATTTTTGCCATTAAATATCTCAACTAGCTTTTGAATTAAACCATCCAAATGAATTTCAGTTTATCTGACTGACTTTTTAAAAAAATAGTATCCAAACATAAATCACGTTACATCAACTGATTTTTTTTCTAACCTCAGTTTGCTAACCTTAGTTGAATCCTAACCTCAGTTGTAAATTTTTTAATCCAAACACACACTAAGTTTGACAAAAATTATGTCTGCAAGTGAGTTGATCAAATTTGAAGGGGCAATAATGTGACAGTGATTCAAATTTTAAGTTAAAGCAATATAAAATATAAGCATTTTTTACCCAAAAAAATATAATCATTTTTCAATTTATTTTGATCTAAAATATATGTATCTTAGCATTTGTCAAAAAAAAGTCATGTTATCCCTTGTATTTATTAACGTATATTTTTGTGTCTTTAAATTTATTACATTCTTCTCACTCATCATAAATTGAAACTATAAATAAAAAGAAAAAATAATACATATTTTCATGAAAATAAAAATTTTATTGATATGCAAATCATTGTTAAAATGTGCTCATATTTTAGATTGAAGGGAATATTGAGTTAAAGCAATTACTATCTCCTATTTTTAACGTAAGGGAAAATTGGAAAGTTTTTTTAAATTTTTAATATGAGATTACAACAATTAATATTTTTTTTCACTTTTACCCCTTATTTATTTATTTTTGTTTAAATTCCTAGATAATAATTTATTATGATTATTAATTATAAAGAAAGGTAAAATTTGAGGACGTAACTATGATTTGTAATAAGTGTAAAATTAGTTGAATCTGTGTCATATGAAGGAGCAAAGAGAGTATCTTGCTACCAACAAGGTTTGGGTGTAATGGGAAGGTTTAATCTCTTATAATATCCATTGAAACATTTGTCTATATTTAATGCTTGATCATATTTAAATAGTAACCTTTAATTGGAGGATATTTATAGACAATTTAAAAAAAAAAAAGCAATTATCTGGCTAGAGAAGCTCATGGTTTATTCATTCCTTTTTATTTCATGGTCCCTCTCTTGTTAGAGGAGGAGAGATTGATCAAGTTAGATAAACAAAGTGTATAATGTTCTCTTTGCTTTTTTTTCCCCCTTCTTACAATTGTATGATTTTTGCTTAACCTTTTATTTAAAAAAAAAAAGACAAATGATAGTGATAAGAGAATTTGGAATATTTTTAGAAATAATTATATATGTATATCATAAAATCATGTGACCTGCTTCTAAAATTTTTGGTGGGCTTATAATTATTTGCAATATACATACATTTAAAGTTAAAATTACCTATTAACCACAGCAACATAATCTTTAACAACAGACCCAACCCATAAAGTCCCATGATGTTCTACTACCTCACTCACAGATTCAAGTTCTTGACCTCCTCTTCCATCCAATACCTCCAAAGTCTTTCCCTTCCCATCAAGCTTCACTCCCACAGGATCTTCTTCTAACTTCCACCATTCATTTTTATGACTGCATGTACTTCTACCACTGTACAATCCCTCCCAGAAATCTCCATTTTTGTCTCTCTTGATGTTGTCTGGGCCTCTCTTGAGTTGCACAAAAAGTCCTGAACTGTGTGCCTTGGGCCCTTTCAGCAACACCTTGTAAACCTTGCCTGAACTTGACTCTGCCACCATAAGGAATGACCCATCTTGGCTTAGAGCCACTCCATTTGGGAATGCTAAGCCTTCCACCAAGACCTCTACTTTCTTGCTTCTTGGTCATATTTAAGCAATCTCCCGGTTCTATCTCCAGTGATGACTATCTTTGGCCATTCCCTTTAATTTCACATACACAAGAAATTAGTTTTTCATCATTCACTACACCTATAATAATAATAATCATAAATGCATAATTTGCTAATTGGTATTATGTTAAATAAACTATAAAGAAAATTAAAAATCCATTTGCTTTAAGAGGACAAATAATATAAAAAAAAAATATACATATAAAAAAGTGAGGAAGTTGAAACTTAATAGTTTATACCCAAACAACTCTAAACTAGGAATGACATATTATCAGTATTTTTAATATTTTATTCCTTTTTATATATGTGTGTGTACATGCATATAAATATTATTTTAATTTCATTATCATGTACATGATTAATTATCAATTTAACCAGTTGAATTATGAAAACGTTACTTGTTGGCCTTTTCGGTTTATTGCCTACTCTGATTTTCAAAACATTAAATTAATGTATATGATACGTACGCTGTGGGGATCAAGGCCTCCAGTTTTTAATTTAAAAAAAAAACAATATAGATGTCATATACTTCTAACCTTCTAACATTTATGAAAATTTTATAGTATCCCGTTTTATAATCTTCCCCTGGTTTCGCTATATGAAATAATATGGTTGTGAAGTTTAAATACATGAAGAAGAAGAAAATACCTTCTTTGGTATAAAGTGCTGCTATATGAGAAATAAACAACACCAGATTGCTCATCAATGTCTAAGGCATTGAGTAATTTGAAGGGAGCAGCATCATTTCAGTAGAAATGGCCAGTTGTGTGGCCATACCACCACTAGGCCCAACCATGAAGAGGCCTAAGTGTGCATCTGCTATGTAAGATTACATGTTTTGCTGTCAAATTTAAGCCCTAATGGCCTCCCACATGCATCTTCCCTGCTTGGATCTGTTGACCCATCACACAATTTTCTTTCTCTGTAACCAAACATTTGCAGAAAAACATATTTAGCACAACTATATATCAGGCTTTATGAAGTGGCTAAGAGCTATCAAATGAGATCTCACATATAACTCATTTTTCCATAACAAAAATTGTAGGCAAGTTGAATGTCAAGAGCTTGTTAAAGGCCAGGCATGTATCCTAGGCTCAAAGAGCGTGTATCCTAGGCTCAAAGAGCGTTAATGAAAGTACTTGTAAGTTGTCCACTATAAAGATCCCCCTTTCATTAGAGTGAATTATGAGTTAAATCTTTATTAATTAGATTAGAAATCTCACACGCAACTCTTTGTTTTCTTCTTTTGGGTTTATATTGGCATGGTGGAAAACATTTCAAATGGCCCACCAAACGACTAAAAAAAATCAATGGCAAGAAAACTATATATAAAAAGTAAAAAAAAAAAACTAGAAAATCAAATATCTCGAGAGATCTCAACTTCAAAACCCAGACTACCTAGAAGTCATGTGAGGCTAATTCAGATAATTATATTGTTGTTGTAGTAACATCTCATGAGCAATGATTTAAATTTTAAAACTATATACTATACTTTCTCTGAAATATGTTCTAATAATGACTCTTATCTGCTTGAATATATATAGAATTACGTGGCAACACATGGACCAATGAATGTGCGTGTGTGTGTGCAGTGTACTAATACATAGATCCAGAAGAAGATGATGATCAGATGATGAGAGGTTGCCTGTGCGGCGAGGTGATAGCAAAGTCAAGCCACTGTTGCTGAGTCTGATTCCACTTGAGAATCCTGCCGTCCGATACGCCGGAATATGGACCGCCGCCATCGCAGTCGAAGGCTAAGCTTTCGGGGCCTGTAACACCGGGAAGCTTCAGCTCACGGTAGCCTTTCAAGCCATCATTGATGATTGCTTGACGGAAGAAGGTGTTATTAACCAAAGAGAGAAACACGGAGATGTAGAAAACTAGAGTAGACAACAGCTCCATGGATACAGTTAATGACCTTTCAAAGCTAGATCGTAGAATATATATATATATATATATATATATATATATTATTAAAAAAATAATATGTATGTATGTAGGGGAGAATGACAAATATGTTTTAAAGGAATCAATTCAACTTAAATTTTAAATGTCAAGTTTTAAAATTTATAAGTTAGATTCTTATAAAATTAATAGTTGAACTTGCAAGTTCTTAAAATTTAATATTTGAGATTTAAATTAAATTAATTTATTTCTTTAGACTTTTTAATCATTCTCCCTTTATATATATATAGTTTTCTTTTGTGTGATTCGAAAGGAATAACTAAGACTTATTTGGCTCATCCGAAAAAATTCATGACAAACCTGAACCCGAGTTTCATTTTTATTATTAATAAAATAATACAAAAATAAGATTATTATTTTTTAAAAATAAAAATTGAAATTAGATAAAAAAAAGTAAAAAATAAAAGGAGCTTTTACAAATATAACTCATGTTATAAAATCAAATTAAACAAACAGCTTAACATTTATTATATTTTGTATTATTGTAACACACCAAATTTTTTTTTTTATAATTTAACTCAATCATAGTTGGGTTACAGCCACCCAATACATTTTTATATCAATAATTTCAATATAAAATATTTTATAATTGGCTTCAACTCACACACTATAACATTTCAGATAATTTTTTTTTTTACTTCCCACATGCCATTAGGCTAAATCACATTTGTCCATCCTTATACTCCTAACAAGTAAAATAAGCAATTTATTAAATTTTCAACACAAGCCAGTTATTTGGCCTTATAATCATGCCATTTTAACCAATCCAAAGTAAACCAAATATTAAAATTACAGTCATCCAAATTATACCAAAAATAGAAATAGTCTGAAAGGCATGATTACATTTATATATTCATATAATTGACAATAAACAAAAAGCCCTAATATTGGCAATATAACACATTATAAATCATAAATTAAATACCCAAAAGAGACAGTGGATCTATACCACTAAGCCTCTGGGACTCCTCCACGTGTCACTCGTGGCTCTTCTCCTGAAAATTGTTAACCACATAATGAGACTCAAAAGTCCCAGTAACCAAAGCCAATTTATGATAGTGTATACAAACAGTTAAATGTGTGCTTACTAAGTGAGAATTAAAAATA